GGGAAGAAATGGGAGGATTAACTTTTGCGTCCCCACCTACAGTCCCCTGTAACTGAGGAAAAAACCTTAATTGTACCCATGGTTGTCTGAGCAGGAGATCTGGATATGGTTAACTGCTACCTGGCAGGGAATGGGTTTCCAGTGGGGTCACAGCTGGAGAACAAAAGGTTAAACCTGCCCTTCCTGCATGTTGTACCCCTAACCATCCCCTCCAATGTAGCTCATGAATGTAGGGCATGTGCTCCAAAGACATGGATTACCAAGCCATCCAGAGGCTGGATCATGGAGTTTCATTGTATCCCAGCACCTCATGTTCATATGTTAACCTTCCTAGAGATTTTTAATATCAGAAAATGGCATTTTACTTACCAAACAAAAACACCCTGTGTGAGCACTGAGGAATGGACACATTCAATGCTATTGCTCAGAAAAATTCAATAAGGGAATTACAGCCTATGAGCTGTGAATGGACGCCACTTAGGAACAGAAAAGCATGCTTTGTGAGCAGAATGTCCAAGGTTCACTTTCTTTTCTCCATCGGTAGAACTGGGAAACACTCTTGTCTGGAACCCCACAGAGAGGCTGCCTGTCAGTGTACACATTACTGGGTAGAATGGACCAATGATCTGATTTCATACAAGGCAGCTTCCCAAGAGATATCATTAAAATCTTTTAAAATATCACTTGAGGCACATCTGGCATTTCTAACAATTCATGTTGCCTCTCCCGGCTGAAAACATATGTCTTTAAGAGAAGAAGCAAGCAATTAACCACCCTGCATGAGTTCCATTTACATGTAAGCAAACTTTATTAGTACAACAGTCCAGTGAAAAAAGATCAGTGACACATTCAAGAATTTGCACGTTGCAGCACCAGATGCTGATCTCAGCAGTGGCAACGTGCAAATGCTTTGAAATCTTTGCTATGATGTGGTTGGCATTGTGCCCAGAACCTATTAATGGAAAAATATAGTGTTAATATTTAGAAGTACAACGAAGGAAAGGTCGAAATGGCATTCTTAATTATGCATTTCCAGGCTTTTATGGGCTCGCTTCGCAGCTCAGTTGGACACTGTGATTTGTTGATAGCTTTGCAAATGTTGAGAGAAAAGGAGAAAATAAAAATGTATAACACATGTGATTATGACAGGCTGAAGGTTCTTTAAGTATAATTTCTCCCTGTGTGCAGTACTGTAGAATTTGTAGGCCTTTCTTTCTTTTGTGGACTGAAATCCTGAAGCAGTAACATCTTTTGTAAAAGAACTGGCAGTTATTTTTCTTTATGTCTTTATTAGACAGGTGCTGTAAAATGCAACAAGTGAAATGAAGTCTCTAAAACATGGTGCATTAACTTGTTGATTTCATTGGTTAAAGCTAGAAAAATAGGCAGGAAAGTAAGGAAACTGCTCGATTCCTGGGAAAGGGAAATGAATGAACCACTTCAATTTATCATGTATTGTCATGCTAGACTGAATACAGAACTGAAAGGTAGGTATACATTTTAGGGCTTTGCTGAACATTCACCAAAGTCAATTTTCAGGCCTACAATTGGCTGTTTTTGGTACAACCTGACAAACACTTGTAAGGATTCCATATTAAAACATCAATACTTTAAAACAATATAATCTTTGAGAGTTCTTTGCAAATGCCAATAAACATGGACAGAAGTGACTGTTGGCCCATCTGGGTGTTGCTCACTATGCTTTCCTCCACATGGGAGCAAGTCCCACTCCCATTTGTTATCTCATCATGTGGACCGTGATAAAGAAAAGAAGGTGCCCAATCACTTATTTGTTTATTTGTTAAAATGCTTATATTCTCCCCTTTGTTTGTAGATCTCAGGGTGACTTAGAATAAAATCAACTTAAAACAAGAAATAATTACTAAAATTATAAAAATATATCAAACATATCAAATAGTTTTCAGTTTAAAAATACACAATTTAAAACTGGTTAAAACAATATTGAATAATGTAGTTATAAAACATGTGCAGCCTGGATAAAACCAGTTTGGCCCAAAGGCTTTAATGAAATGCCTGGTTTAAACTTGGCAATGAAATTATTTTAATGTTGGTGCCAATCAGGCCTCCAGAAGGAGGGAAATCCACAACATTTGAAGCAATCTCTTTTATTTTCCTTTTCTATTGCTTTTATCTTAGAATCTTGCTAATAAAAATATTAATCACCCCCAAGTGTGTTGAATGGGGTGACAGTCATAGGAAGATGCTCTTCTACTAGTGCATGGTTTCTCCCCATATAACATCCTGCATGGTCACTTTTATGTGATACTTATGTTGTCAACAGCAGAATACATAATCACTTCCTTAGGATACAACACAACTAGCATTTCAATAAAATTGTGAAATCTGAATTCTGACTGCTCAGGAAAGGTTGGTGGATTTTGTTTGGACTACGTCTTTTGTGTCTCGAGCTCTACCAATACAGTTGGAAGAGACCTCAAGGGCCACCAAGTCCTGCCATGCAGGAATTCACAATCAGAGCACCCCTGACGGATGGCCATTCAGCCTCTATTTAAAAGCCTCCAAAGAAGGAGACTCCACCACACTCCAAGGGAGTGTGTTCCACTGTCGAACAGCTCTTACTGTCAGGACTTTCTTCCTAATGTTGAGGTGGGATCTCTTTTTCTTTAGGTAAACTGAAGAGTACAATTAAGTTTCCTGTACCCTTCTGCTCCTACTGAGCCAAAGCAAGACTGCCATCCCTCGTGATGTTGGGATACTTCATCACCAACCAGATTTTGTACAAATGCATGCTAGGACATTGAAAATGAGAGCAAGAAAGGGCAATTCTAGTGGGAAATTCTGTTACAAGTGATGAAATGATAACCACTGAAGTGGTTATAGTGGTGATATTTCAACACCATGGAGACTGTTCAACTAATCCTGTGAGTACAGTTGGCCCTCCACATTTGCAGGTTTGATTTTTGCAGGCTTGGTTATTCAAAGATTACGTATTTGCTGCCACCTCCACTGCTGCCCTATGCCCTTTTTAACAAGGAGTGCAAGGTTTCACAAGACTGAGAGACTACAAATGTGTGGCAAGGCTTGTAAGTCCCTATTAAAAATGGCATAGGGCAGCAGTGGAGGTGGCAGCAAGCCCTGCCAGCTGCCTGCGTCTGCCTTGCAAAGGAACCCCACTTCTTCAAAGGCATGGTGTGTTGAATCTATGGATCATACTTTTTATGTGTGTTAAATATGACTTGGGATGGGGCTAGAGTTATTTGCAATTTTCCCACTTTGTGGGGGTCCTATGCCCTAACCCCAGCGAATGTGGAGGGCTGACTGTAGTCCTGACTCATTCCAAATGGATTTGGATATAAAGAATGTCAGACTCCTTTATAGATTAATGATACTATAATAAGGATCCAAACAGTTTGGCTTCTCAGCAGCGGTCACCCCACCCAAGCAATATATGATTTGATTTAGGCCTACAAACTTGATACTTTATACTGCAAGGAGCCAGTGTGGTGTAGTGGTCTAAGCGTTGGACTAGGACTCTGGAGACCAGAGTTTGAATCCCGGCTCAGCCATGTAAACCTACTGGTGACCTTGGGCAAGCCACACGCTCTCAGTCTCAGAGGATGGCAATGGCAAACCATGGCTAAAAAAAAAAATTGCCAAGAAAATCTTGTGATTGGTTCACCTTAGGGTTGCTATAAGTCGAAAATGACTTTAAGGCACATAACAACAAACTTGATATTGCAGAAAGACTAAATACCCTGAAGGCACTAGATTTCTTCGGATCACAGAAGTAAAAGAGAGTCAGACCTGATTAGTATTTGGAAGGAAAGTTGCTAAGGAATACCAGATGCTGAGGCTGGATGTCAGAGAAAGACAATGGCAAACAAGCTCTAAGTATTCTTTGCCTAAGAAAATCCTGTGAAATTCAAGACAGGTGATTTCAAGGGACATACTTTATTTGAGACTGCATTCATCAGCTAGGGAAAGGAATGGGAATTCCTCCTCTCCTCTAACACATCAACAGAGCTGCCAAAGCTATCTCAATGGATCTTCTGAGAGGGAAGAGGTGGGATGCCCTTTTTTCTCCTGCGGAAGGGGAGGGCTGCATTCTCTTGAGGGTTATCTGGCAGGTGATGCACAGAAGCAAAATGGGAGACTGCACTCCCTTTTATCTCTCTCTTCATCCTATTTTTACTATATCCCTCCTGTCTTCCCCTCTGGCTCAGTAAATTGCTTGGCAGAAGGACAGACTGCTCTTTTCAAAGAGTTGAACTGATTTGTTTGCGGGGGGGGGGGGGGGGGGAGGGTTGAGATGAAGCCAAGGGCTACATGGAATTAGGCAGAGGCGTTATGTTCACAAACCTAACTTAGCTATGATTTTTTTTAAAAAAATAGAACAACAACCCAACCTTCACATTAGCATTATTTCAGCCATCACTGAGTGCATCCAACTTGGCAAACTTCATGGAGATTTCTCTTAAATTGAAGCAACTGTGTATAAGAACACAGGCTTTCCATTTCCATTTACACTCCCAGTATCTTGGAAATTAGGGATAATCATATACCAGTCCCTAGTGTAACTGAGCTTAGATTTTAGTCCAGTGCTAGCCACTAACCCACAGTAGCTAAAGCACAGCTTTTTCTGCACCCCCTCAGTGCTTCCCAGAATTTTTATTTTTTTGCAAAATTAAAATCATGATCTGCAAGTTGCAAAAACAACAACACCCTGCTAAAACACTGCTGTCAACAGTTAAAAGAGCTAAATCCACTATAGCCAAATGGGACAGCCAGTATCACTATTCCAGTAAATATCATTGATTAAAATCAATTTAATTATTTTAAAAATTCAGTTATGTAGAAATATAAATTCAAGGAAGATGAATTGTGATTCCATTTGTTAATAAGGAGTAGGGGAAATGTTTTATGAATTTAATAATATTTAACCAGGAATTAATTTAAATTAATTTCTGTGAATTTTAAAATCTATTTTACTACTTTATATGTAATCAATCTGTAAAATTTATTTTTAAAAATAAATGGCTATCCAGGAAAGACAGAAGCAAAACCAGAAAAGTGTGACCTTTGAAACTGATACCTACCTGAGAAGTAGCACTGGCTACTCATCCACTCCCAAACAACTTGCCTAATTGGAAAGAGACTTTACCACTGCCTCAAATGTATTTTTGTACAATTCGAATAATTAACAGTAGACACCATAGAGCTGTTATTGACAATACAGGCTATGATTGATGTAATTTGCTTTGTATTCTCCATGTGTCTAACTGATGACAAATGACCATGAACTATGTAAACAGAGCTGTCTCATCTGCAAATGAATCTTGACGGCCATCCCTTGTGCAAGTGAGATGATGAACTAGTAATGTTCAGCATAATAATTTGTATTAATTAATTTGTATCACTTCTTCTTTCAAGGATTGTGGGGTGCAATACTCAGACTCTTCTGTTATAGCCTCTTGTCAAACTTCTGTGGCCTTAAGCCAGCCTAAAAGGTCACATAATGTCATGGCTGAAAGGAAAACTGAAGTGGTACTTCTCCAGTCCAAGCTGAACAAACAATTTGTTGCAACCCAAAATACTAGTTATCATTCACATGTATTTTACTCTGTTTCACCATCTTGGTTTGGCTCCAGCTTTTGTAAGGGAATGTTATCATTTTTTAAAACTCTGTTTAAAGACAGGAACAGGCTCTTGGCCAACTGCTGCACAGGAGGAGAAATGTAGCGCCACCACTGTACAGTAGGGAGTCTCCTCTTTACCTGTAGGCAGGAGGCTGCGGTTAGGAACACAACTCCCACTGGGCCAAATTAATCTTAGCTGAAGTTCAGAGACTTTAATGATTTCTCAACTGTGGGGTGAGGTTAGAACTATAAAAGAAAACTTTTGCATATCTTACAAAATCCAGCCCTTCAAATGCAAATTAACTTGTAAACAGCTGCATGTAGCCACACTAGAGACTTGCAGGAAGTAAGTCTTAACATTTGCAGGAAAGGCTGAGTTAGGGTTTCATTTTGTTATTCATTCTCATCTGGGAAGGTTAATCTGAAACAGTAC